CTCTCTCTCTGTCTCTCTCTCTCTCTCTTTCTCTCTCTCTCTCTCTCACACACACACACACACACACACACACACACACACACACACACACGACACAAACATACACAACAGATAATAAAAGGAAACACTGAAAATAAAGGACAGGCAAGAAACAGACATTGTTTCCCAAGTTCCTAGTAAGACTGAAGCTTGCTGCAAGCTTCCAGCTCTACCTTGAAGGTAACTTCATTTTTTTTTTAATCCTGCTATCACAAGCTCCCAGCCTCCCCTGACCTCTACCGGCTAGCTTGTGACCTTACACTCCCACTCTTCAGTGTTCTTACATTTTTCAGGATCATCCCTAGCGTTGAGTAATGCTAACTGCACTTCATTTAATCTGTGCAAAGACAGACAGGGAAATGTGACTTGCAGCCAGGACACCAGGAAGTCCACAGGATTCCAGTAACTTAGCAGAAGTGACACAGGTAGTGAGCTAAACTGTCAGGAATATAGCCAGGCTCCTCCTCTGTATGTGTGGGGGAGCAAAAACACCAAAGTAAACCTCCTAAGAGGTACAGAAAGAAATGTTTTGGGGAATCAAAGGATCTCTCTCACTCTTTCTCTTTTTTTCTCTCTCTCTAGTCTCCTTCCATCCTCCTTCCTTCCCTCTCAGGAGCAGAAGGAAGAAGCCAAATGGCAGAAAAACAAACAAATAAAAGACAGTGAGGTGGGATCCTTGAGCTGGTACAAGCTGTCTGGATCAACCAGAAACTGAGGTGACCTTTGAGGGAAGATTAAGGGCGTGTGGTGGTTTGAATGACAACACACCCCTGTACGCACATGGATTTGAACGTTTGCTGACCAAGGAGTAGAACTACTCAAAAGGATTACAAGGCTCAGCTTGTGTGACCTTCTTGGAGTAGGTGTGGCCTTGTTGGAGGAAGAGTGTCAGTGTGAGTGGACTTTGAGGTTTCAAAAGCCCATGCCTGTCCCAGTTGCTCTCAGCCTGCAGAACAAGGTGTAGCTTAGCTATTCCTCCAGTACCATGCCTACCTGGACTAAGCCTCTAAACCTGTAAGCCAGCCCCCAATTAAATGCTCTTTTATAAGAGTTGCCCTGGTCACGGAGTCTCTTCACAGCAATAGAATCCTGAAGAAGAAAGAGTTATTTCTTTATTTTTTTAAAAATAAACAAACAAACAAAAAAAAAACTTGCCTTAGGAGATCAGATTTTCTGACAAACAGAAAGCTGCCTTTAGGCTTCTGTTTACCCAGCCAAAGTCCTCCCATTTAGGGCATTTTCTCCAGTGCTGCTGTTTTTGGGGTCTCTGCTACAGACCTAATGTTTCAAGCCTTTTGTTTGTTGAAGATAGTGTTAAACCTGAGAATTACGAGGACAAAAGACCAAATCCGCTACTGTCCAATCAAAGCCAGCTGTATTTTGGGGTGCACCCACAGGACTGGCCAGCTGCCTGTCCCACCCTAAGTCAGGATTTGAGAGAGCAACCTCTGCCGACCTCTTGAAGTCCCTTTCATGGGAGAGGTATTCACAGGGACCAAAGAGTTGGCTATTACACATTGTTAGAAAGATGCAGCAAAAGCAAAGGAGCAAAGATAAGGAAGTACATCTTGTGTTGGGTCACAAGTTTAGTGTAGGCTGAAAAACATGTGTTGCAGTTTACATCAGATCTAAGAAACAGGAAGTTATTCTTCATTACAAATCACAACCTTAACTTGCAAGGACTTAATGAACAAAAGGGAGCTTATTCTTTAGCTACAAACAGAAGCCTTCACCTACAGAGGACAAGTAGGAACTTATTCTTAAACTGTCTTAAGTGCAAACAGAAACTGTCAATCCCATCAGTTGACAATAAAACCATTATCACAAATTAAAGCCAATTTGAAGCAAGCTTGGATTAAATACTGGCCAGGTCGATGGGCCTTGGCCAGGTCCATCTCTGGGTTTCTAGAAAGTAACCGCTAAATGGCAGAGAAACACTTAAAGAAATGCTCAACCTCATTAGCCATTAGGGAAATGCAAATCAAAACGACCCTGAGATTTCACCTTACACCCATCAGAATGGCCAAGATAAAAACTCAAGTGATAGCACATGCTGGAGAGGTTGTGGAGAAAAGGGAACCCTCCTCCATTGCTGGTGGGAATGTAAACTGGTTCAACCACTCTGGAAGTCAATCTGGCGCTTTCTCAGACAACTAGGAGTAGTGCTACCTCAAGACCCAGCTATACCACTCCTAGGTATATACCCAAAATTTGCTCAAGTACACAACAAGGACATTTGTTCAACCATGTTCGTAGCAGCTTTATTTGTAATAGCCAGAACTTGGAAACAACCCAGATGTCCATCAACGGAGGAATGGATACAGAAATTGTGGTATTTTTACACAATGGAATACTACTCAGCAATCAAAAAGGAGGAAATCATGAAATTTGCAGGCAAGTGGTGGGATCTAGAAAAGATCATTCTGAGTGAAGTATCCCAGAAGGAGAAAGACAAACTTGGTATATACTCGCTTATATAGACCTACAAGACATGATAAACATAGTGAAATCTACACACCTATAGAAGATAATCAAGAAAGTGGACACAGGCGAAGGTGATTAATCCTCATTTAGAAAGACAAATGGGATGTGCATTGAACATATGACAGGAGTCTACCACAAAAGGCATCTGAAAGACTCTACCTAGCAGTGTTTCAAAGCAGACACTAAGACTCATAACCAAACCCTCGGCAGAGTGCAGGGAATCATATGAAAGAAGGGAAGTTAGTATGATATGGAAAGGATAGGAGCTCTACAAGGACCAAATATATCTGGGCACAGGGTCTTTTCTGAGACTGACACTCAACCAAGGACCATCTATGGATATAACCTAGAACTTCTGCTCGGATGTGGCCTGTGGTAGCTCAGTAACCAAGTAGTTTTCCAAAGTAAGGGGAACACGGACTATTTCTAACAGGATCTCAAGGGCAGGCTGTTTGACCCCCCCCCCCCAGGGGAGGAGCAGTCTGTTAGGCCACAGAGGAGGACTTTGCAGCCAGCCCTGAAGATACCTGATAAAACAGGGTCAGATGAAAGGGGAGGAGGTCCTCCCCTATCAGTGGACTTGGAAAGGGGCAGGGAGGAAACCAGGGAGGGAGGGTGGGGTTGGGGAGGGAATGAGGGAGCGGGATACAGCTGGGACACAGAGTTAACAAAATGTAACTAAAAAGAAAAAAAAAAAAAAAAAAGATGAAAGTAACCGCTATTCATGTTATGAAAGGACTTAAAAAGGCAAAATCTGAACTGGGCGGTGGTAGCACACACCTTTAATCCCAGCACTTGGGAGGACAGAGGCAGGTGGGTCTAGGCCGGCCTGGTCTACAAAGTGAGCTCCAGGACAGCCAGAGCTACACAAAGAAACCCTGTTTCACAGGTGGAAGGGAAGTAAAACTCATAATTCACCGAATTTCCCATCAGGTCCAATCATGGACAAACATACATCCTGACATACTTCCCTCCCGAGTACCTCTTGCCCACATGTGATCAAGGACACCAAGTGCCAACAGAACCCTTAACATGCCAAGTATGACTTTCCTGTCTGACCTCACATGAACTTGTAAGAACTTAACAAAAGACAAATGGAGTCTTATTCTTTAACTACAGGCAGAAACCTTAAACTTCACAGGACAAACAGAAACTTAATCTTAACGGACTTAACTGAAAAGAAAAACCTTAACATGAAAGATATACTGTTCCTGTTTTGGTCTCAAAATAATAGGCTCTGGTAGTCCTCTGGCTATTTCCTTCCTACTGGGGTCTTGGGAAGAAGGGTTCTTGAATGCTGCTCCAAAACAGCCGAGTGAGGAGCTGCACGGGAGAAGGTAATTTACATATCGGATTAAGCAGCTGGGACACAGATTGAGAAAGGAGGTCAGTGGCCAGAGCTTGGTTGAAGTAAAAGGAGTACCTGGAATCCCATGGAGCAGATAGTCCAAGTAAGATAAGACGCCATTATCTGGGTGTGAAGCAAAGATAAGGATAGTCCTTAATCTAAAGCAGGAAAGGGAGAAGTAGAGGAAGGAATATGAGGAAGAGTCTAAGGGTTAGGCACCACTGGGTGCACAGGAAGGACTCCTGCGTTAATAATCCAGAGGTCCTGAGCATGGGCAGTAAAAGCCATCAGGCTTTGGGTGGGCAAGGGAAAGGTGTTAAGTAGTCTTGAGAATACCTTAATTGAACAGGTACTGTGTGATAGGTTATAAGCCTTGTGTACATTTTAGAGATACGGTACTAAGAAAAACAGGGGTGAAAAAATAGGGTCCTTGGAGTGTAGGATAGTAATGGGGGGGGGATGATGGGAAGCCATGGGAGGGGAGGAGAAGGGGGGAGGGGAAGAGAGGGGAGGGGAGGGGAAAGCATTAGTGTCCGATGAGTGTAAGGAGAGTGAAGGAGAAAGGGAAAGTGTAATTTGGCCATGACATTCCTGCTCAACTCCAAGGCTGGGGAACTAGGCCTAAGGAGGGAGAGCAAGTCCCATTTTAAGATATGTCCTTTCCTTCCAGAAAGTTAGAGAGATGCTGGGCAGGGTTCAGTCAGCACCAAGCCTGTGTTTATTCAAATGTGGGTTTCCCGAAAGACCTGTGAGGATGGACAAGGAGTTATTATGTTCTGTCTGAAATGACTTAAAAGTCCAGAACCTGGGTTAACTGCAACCCTCCCTGCTGACAGGGGGTTGTGAACACTCTCTTTGCCTCTGATTTCTCCCTCTTTCCACACCGACTATGTACTATTTGATAAACAGAAGACATGCCCAGGAAATCAGTGGGATTGTTTAGAAAACAGCTGGGGGTTTTCCGGTCGAGAAGTAGTTCTGATAGAGCCTTACAAATCCCTGTTACCAGAAATTAGCCTGTCTGTCCACTTCCAGTCTGAACACAGAGCACAGCTTGTACGTGCCAGCATTTCCTAAGAGGAGGGAGGAGTCTGTGGTGGGGATAAATAGGCGTTAGTGTGCAGTGGCATGAACAGCACGCCAGGCAAGTGGCAACCCTGAGCATCAGGACTCGGCAATCACAGAGAGGCTGGCAGCTGGCATTAGCTGTGAAGGTAATTCTAGGATTCCTTCCCTCCAGGGATAGAGAAAGGAGCCTTCCCAAGACCCTGTGCTACTGGCTATGGCCTGCAGCCTGTGTTTGTGGGAGTGGGGCTGGGCTGGGAAACTGGGTTAAAACCAGAAAACATTTCTGGGGTTCATACATCTTTTCTCTGGTCTGGTTCTCGTGCCATGAAAGATGCAGGGGCTGGGGCTATGCTCCTGGAGAGTGAATGGAGCCTGCTCCTTCTCACTCTTCAGAAGGAGGATGTTTTGAGACTCTGTCTAGCTTGCAGGCTGCTGGCACAGCTAGGGTGAGACAGGACTGTTGCAGAGTCATTTTGGGGGAAGTGGCAGCCCTGATACTCACATCAGACAGGAGATCATGGGTCTCAGTGGTCCCACTTCTCTCCTAGGTCCCATTGCCAGGCAGAGGGGCTTCATCCTTAACTAGGGAAGCAAAGAAGGCAACAGTTCAGCCTCTGAGCCAGGTTTCCTGCTGCACAGACCGGGCAACACCTTTTCTCTGGAAATAGTTTTGGTACAAAGTATTATTTAGTGCTTTTTCAAAGAAATGGTTGCATCAGTCTGAAAGTCAAACACAGGGGAAAGGCAGCCAAGTTTCTGAGGTCCCTGGCTCATCTGCAGCCATGTCACAGCCAGGGGGACAAGTGGCCTAGCTCCAACACACCCTCCTCTGCTCCCTCCAAATCCTGCTGCACTCTTTCAGTCCTCCCTTCCTTCCTCCCATCTTCCATTGGCTCCCTCCTACTTTTCCTGCCCCTCTCTCCTCCTATCTTCCTTCCTCTCTCTCCTCTTGTCCCTCCTTCTCCCTCCTCCTTTCCCCCCTCTTCATCCTCCTATCTCCCTGCAGCACTTTCTTCGACTTTCTCACCCCTTCCTTCCTCCAATCTCCTGCTCTTCCCTCTCCTCTTCTTCCTCCCTTCTCCCCACTCCCACATTCATTTACCATCCATTTTCACCTTTGGACACCTGAACAAACAGACGGAGGCTAAAGGTAGATAACTATGTTTACTGTGATCACAAGCTTTCAACTCTGGTCCTTTAGGATGTCTTTGGCCCCTACACCAGGGTGTATGGAGGGGATGGCCATCTAGACATTCTCTATAAACATCCTTAACACCCATAAGAAGCCAGACACTTACCAGCCATGTAACCTGGATCACTCAATAATCTGCCCATTGACATCCATCCATTTGCTTGCCACCAAACCGCCATCCTGACAGACAAAATGAAATCTGGTCCAGGTATCAGACACCATTCATTTTTCTTCCTACCAGGAATCCTTTCGAGCCTGAGGTACAAACCAACATGTGGTATCCTGGCAGGGCTGAAAGAACCTTCCCTTATTGATCCTTCTAATACCTGTTCTTGGAGGTTCCAAGGCTTTGGCATGGAGCCAAATGTCTCTAGTGTTTCCTCTGAATTAACCTACCCACTCCAGGAAACATGTTCTAGATTCAGCCCAGGCCTTGAGGTTTCTCAGACATGTCATCAAGAAGCTAGGTTAAGTTCTGTGCTAAGTAATACTCCAAGGTTCCTGAGGTCTACCTACAGGATGGAGGGAAGAGACAAATGCAAATGCACTGGGTTCCCTGCCTTCTGATGAGCCTTTATTCAAAGAGAAAATTAGAGAAAACATTTTGATCAAACAGAGCTTGTCTACAACCCTCATTCTTTTTTGGCTTGCTCTGTGAACCTGACATGTCCCTTTACCTCTCTAGATCTTGGTTCTTTATTAGAAAAATTGGCTACTGCAACAGTACTTCCTCCAGTGATTACAGAGTACATAGGAGCTGGTACTGCCATCTGAATGGCCTGAGCACCTCCCATGGGCAGTCACAGAGACAGCAAGGGCACAATGCAGGCAGGGTAGGAGAACTAGCTCATGGTCAGGGAGACACCTGGTCTTCTCAGTCTCAAAGGATCATTTCTTTTCAGCCTGGAGAAGAGAGAAGATGCCCCTCCTTATAGCTCTGGGGCTCTTGCTAGCTGGGATCTGTCCTGATGTTCTCTGCTACCGATGTGGCACATGGCAAGGCGACGATGCAGTCCATGAAGACCAAGAAAATGGGACACAAGTGGACAGTCTAAAATTGGTCTCCAGGAACACCGACTTTGCCTTCAGCCTCTACAAAAAGCTGGTTTTGAAGAATCCAGATAAAAATGTCGTCTTCTCCCCATTCAGCATCTCTAGTACCTTGGCAGTCCTGTCCCTGGGAGCAAACAGCAACACCATGGAAGAGATTCTAGAAGGTCTCAAGTTCAATCTCACAGAGACCCCTGAGGC